GAAAAGTGTAGGTCAAATGAAAAGCAAAGTAAGTTACCTCCAACATGCTAAACATTGTTCCATCATGTTGAAATTTTGGGGGGGGTTTTTTTTTTAAAACCAAAAAGAAGGAATTCATTTTTCTTCCAGACTCTGGGCTTTCAGAAGCAGATTACCACGACAAGAATGTACGTAGAATTGTTAGGCCCGAATAGCAGATCATTTTAATTGGTCTAAAAAAACATGTGAGGCATTAGGTTTTACATTATTATTTGGCCCCTTTTGTTTTGTCGTTGTTTGGTTTGTTCACCATGTAAAGCGGCCTTGGGTCCTTGAAAGGTCTTAATACAATCTGATCTATATTATTATTATTGATTATTATTATTATTATTATTAATACTAAAGCATCATTTTATAAATAATTGACTTTAATATTTTTTTTACAGTTTTATTTTTAAATATATTTTTTAATCTTATTTATTGGGAATGCTCTAATTTGAAATGTGTATATGCCATATAAATAATTCCTATTCTATTTTTTTATTTATAATATTTTTTTTTTAAATGAAGCAACTGAATGAAACCAAATTTATCCAGTGGATTAAATAAGGTAAAATTCTGATTCTGATGTAAGCAAGATATTAGTTGACTTACTGTTGGATCAATCTGCCAGGACTCAAGAAAAAGGGTCCCAGCCTGCACAACGAGCGCTGGTAGACGTTAAACCGTCAACCCTCCATCACCAAATAATGCTTTCTAATGCCACCAGCCGTGTCCCACTTAACATTGTGTTAAACAACAACAGGCCCAGACACCCATCTTCCATCACTATTCAACACAAAATATTGATATTACTGAATCATTTCATTTCAAGATATTCCTCCATTTCCATTCATCCTTCCTGAATTCAATATGTTATAATCACAGAAAAATGTGGTGCGGGACCCAGCCAAAGACAGACCAGACAAGAAAGGAATGAGAAAACCAAGGAAGCAGATAGAAAGAGTTATTAAGCCACATATTAAAATGTTTGGGCTCTCCTCCTCCATGGCTTTCTATCCTGAATGAGCCTGTCGCTATTGTAAGCATGATTCTTATCACAACACCAAACACTGTCTAATTCCTCTCACCCGCAATGCAAGAAACAAGAGCCAGAAAGACGGAAGCCAGAGAGAACAGGACATGAAAAAAAAAAGGTTTGAAAGTCACGGAGGCAAAAAAAAGAGCTGGGATACTATAAAGCTATGCAAATAGCAATTAGCTGAACCAATAACCTCTCCAGTCAATCCAAGACACCTCAAATGGCGAAATAACCCAGCCACAGGCTAATGAGTTCAAAGGCTCACGCTGCGATTAGGTCACAGCCCAGACGATAAGTGACGTCTTTCAGAGTGAGAAGGTGATAATTGTGGCCAAGAAAACAGAGGCACTAATGTTTGCAGGACTAAAGAGAGTCATTGGTGCGCTTGTCTATAGAAGGACCTTTAAGTCGCTTCCCATACCTATGTGGCAATTTGAGCCATAATTGGTCTCTTGCTGCGTACAAACTCCATGACATTAGGACAGTGAAGGAGGCAGATAATGAATTATAACGTCGTAAAGGTGCCTCCATTTTGAAGATTACTTAACTTTTTCAAACAACAGTTCAGATATAAAGACATCTAAGCGTCAAAGAGCTCTGCATAATACTATTTACTGCTACTCTGGAGATAAAATTAGCAAAGGCAATAGCAAGAAACAACTCTGCAGTTTTCCTGAGTTTATGAACATGGGTTCATGCATGCGTGTGGTTGCTGTTGTAAGTGTTCTTTGCTGAAAACAGCTCGGTTTGAATCAGGCTGAGAGATGCGGTCGTTCACACATCTTTCCGTGAACATGCCTTCACAGCGTGAGAATAAACAAAGTGGAAAAAATCACTGTCAACTTGGTGTGTGTGCGTGACAAACTACAAATCTACTACAGACATCGTGAGAAGTGTAATTAGATTTCACCAGCACGGGACACCTTTTCCCATCAACACTGTTAGATGAATACTGAACAGATTACAAGACGGTGCATGTGTGTGTGTGTGCGTGTGTGTTTTGTTGTGCTGTGTGTTGCGCGACCGCGCAGCGCCCGCCCGGGTAGTGATGCTCCGCCTGGCTGGGGTGAGATCTGTTCCTATTTGCGCAGAACTCAAATGGTTAGAGAATGACGCAGAATGATCTTTTGTCTGGACATAAATAAAGAAAGAAATGTGAAAAACAATAACAGCGCAAAATATTGAAGTGCAGAGACTTTTCTGTAAAACACTTAATCTGTATTCCTACTACACTTCACAAACAGGTGTTACCGGAGGAGAACACTAGTTGTTCCCAAAAGGAGGTTTAAGGTGGAGAGAACATGTTGTTCCCAAAGAGGTTTAAGGTGTGGTTGCAAAAACAAATGTTGTTGGGTGAATGAAATAGAAGAGTGCCAAAAACAGATTCAACGGATGAAGTAAACCACAGTGGTTCCCAAAAGAGGTTTAAGCTTTGGACAAAAACAAATGAAGGTGGAGTAAATCAATAGGTTGCCAAACAGGGTTAAAGGTGAAGTAAATAAACCGTTGCTTCCCAGTAATTGTATAGGAACTCGATCCTGTAGTTATCAAGAACACATTTAGGGTTGACTCAATATGCGGTTCCCAAAACCAGAGATTAAAGTTCTGATTTTGTTGGTGGACTAAATGAAAGGGCAGGTTAATGTTAGATACATAGTTGTGTTCCCAAAACCCAGGTTTAGGTGACCTAAATAAGCCGTCCCAAAACAAGAACAAGGAATTGTCTGACAAGACAAGTTTAAGGGTGACTCATCAGGAGCTCCTTACTCATTTAAAGTTTACAGAAATGGTCTGTTCCCAATACAAGTTTATAGGTAATTTCGAAGGTGGACTAAACTCGGCTTGGGACTGTGGCTCCGCAAAAACAGGTTTTAGGGTTGAATAAATCCTTCATATCCTTTACTGCTAACAGATGTACTGAGATCAGCGTTTTTTTAAACAGGTTTAATGTGGACTAGACCAGCGGAGCAGAGGCACCAAGAAATTGAATCAAATGGGTTAAAGATCCTTAATAGAAAAGTAACAGTAAAAATGCAGACTTTTAGGCGTCAGTGAAATTGTTCGATATTGATTTGTGTTGGTACATCTCTAGTCCTCTGCTTTTGATCTCTTTGAAATGCGTGGATCGTAGAGGTTATGACGTTTTTCATACATTACATCTGTGCGTTGAGGATTTCAGCCTGTATGTGGGGTTGTAGCTTTGCATGCTAAAAAGGTTAGAAACCACTGGCCGCCGAGGCTCTGTTATAATGAATAATTGATTCAACTTA